CCAAAGGGCTGGTGATTGAAATAAACCAATAGCTGCACAGGAGAAAATAGTTAAGAGATCTGCTCCCATAAAGACGACCGTTTAGGAAATAGGGTTTCCTTATCATTTCCTCAATGCCCTTTCTATAGTCACTTTCAATTGGCATAGACTCAACGTCATACCACAAAAACATTCTTTAATTTGAATGTAAATGGAATAGAGCTTCTGTAAGGCTAAAATTTGTCTTTTTACTTTTTAAAAAATGTATCTTAAAGGCACAAAGGTGTAAATAATTCTGTTGTTGTTATGTGCTGTCGAGTTGGAACCAATTCATAGCTGATCCCCACAGTGAATTTTCAGAGGTTGTAAAACACACAGAGAAGATTGTCATCTTTCTCCCATAGAGCAGCTGGTGGATAGGAACCGTCTTCCTTTCTATTGGCAGTCCAACTTCTTACTACCAGGTCACCAGGGCTCCCAAAATTATTATGATGCCAAATAGAATAAGCATTTTATTTTTTTAAAAAAATCATTTGTTACTATTATTTTCATAGTTTACCAAGTATATCGGGTTTGTTGTTTTTCTATTTAACAATTCATATCCTTTTGCTTTAAAGCATCATAGCACTCAGTGTTATATCATCCATCCATGTTTTATATTTTGCCTCAATTAGAACAGAGCAAAGAAACTGCATAGTTATAATTCGGAAGGGAGTGTATCCTGTCTCCATGCTTTTTCAATCTATATGCTGAATAGATCATTTGAGAGGCTGGATTTTATGAAGAGGAGTGTGGCATCAGGTTTGGAGGAAGATACATCAACAATATATTGCTATGCAGATGACACAGTCTTGCTTGCCAAAACTGAGGAGGACCAGAAGAGTTTGCTGCAGAAGGTCTTCAATATGGATTGAAGCTCAACATCAAGAAGACAAAGATTCTTACCACTGGGCCAATTGGTAGCACCATGATAGATGGAGAAGAAATTGAAGTTGTTAACAATTTTAACTTGCTTGGCTCCACAATTAACACTCGTGACACCAGCACTCAGGAAATCAAAAGATGAATTATATTGGGGAAGTTGACTGTCAAAGACCTCTGTAATGTGCTAAAGAGCAATGATATCAGTCTAGAGACTAAGATGCTCCTGATCCAGGCTATAGTTTTTGCAGTTATGATGCTATGCATCAGGGAGCTGGACAATGACTAAGTATGACAGAAGAATAATTGAAACCTTTGAGTTGTAGTGCTAGAGAAGAGTATTGAACATATCACGTATTACCAGGAGAACAAATAGGTCTGTCTTGGAAAGGGTGAAACCAAGTTTCCCCTTGTACTAGGATTTTGAAGCTCCATCTCACATATTTTGGACACATGGCCATGAGGAACCAGTACTTGGAGAAGGTCATCATGCTTGGAAGCGTGGAGGGACAGTGCAGGAGAGGAAGACCCGGATGAGATGGATTGACATGGTAACTGACGCAATGGAATTAGGTGTGTCGAAGTCAGTGAGGCTGGCTTGGGATAGGCCACGGTTCAGAGCTATTACGCATAGGGTTGCTAAGAGTTGCAGGCAACTCAATGGCACATAACAACATTATCTATGTAATATTTTTTACTCTGCTCTCTCTCAATTTCCATTCTTACTGTTGTTGTTATGTGCTATCAAGTCACTTGTGACTCATAGCAACCCTATGTACAATAGCCCTAAATCCTGCTCTGTCCTGTGCCAATCTCATTGTCTCCAACACACTTACCCCATTACCCCAGTCACCGAATCAATTCAACTCAAAGAGGGTCTTCCCCTCCTGCACTGTCCCTCCACCCTCCTAAGCATGACATCCCTCTCCAAGGACTTGTCTCTCCTTACAAGATGTCCAAAATATGTCAGAGGAAGCCTCAGAATCCTTGCCTTCAAGGAACATCCTGGCTTAATCCTCTTCAGAATGAACCTGTTCATTTTCTTAGCAGTCCATGGTACATTCAACACTCTTCTGCAGCACCACAGCTCAAAGGATCAATTCTCCATCTATCCTCCCTAGTCATTGTCCAGCCCTCTGATACATAACATGTGACTGTTAAAAATGATGGCCTGTATTAGACACACTTTAGTCTTCAATCCTATTAATTATCCAAAATTATTCAATCTGCATACAAACCTTTAATATTTTTATAATAGTGGTCTTATAAATATTTGTCATTTTGTGACTAACATTTCACACAGCATAATGTCTTATAGATGAACATAATGTTTCATTAGTACTTTAGTATTTTTAATGATGCATAGTGCTCCGTTTTGTGGATGTGCTATAATTTCTCTATTTGTCAATTGAGATATATTTCTGTATCTTTTCTAGAATAGGTAATTCTGCAATAAAAATGTTGGTGTCTTAGACATTTCTTTAAGATATTTCCTCATCTTTGGCTTCAGTTGTTGATGCATATATTTGAATAATGCTTGTATTAACAGGCCTGCCTTGTATGTGTGTGTGTATATATATATATGTATGTATGTGTATATATATATATATATATAAAATACCCTGTTACTAACAGCATCGTACTTCAGGATAGATTTTGAAACGGTCTTTGTGAATTTAACACCATTCTTCCTTCTTTTTTAATTCCCAACAAACCAGATCACATGATTGTCTGATTCAAAGTGGCCAAAGCCAATCAATTTCAATTCACTTATACCAGAAATGTCAATCTTTATGCATTCCATTTCATTTTTCACAATTTCCAATTATCTCAAACTCATATTTCATACATTCCACATTCCAGTTATTGATGGATGTTCACAGCTATTTATCTTCATTTTGACTACCAATCTAAGGACACCATCTCTAGTTCTATATCCAGTAGTGTTCCTCTCTTGTTCATAGGGTTTTCCAAGGCCTGATATTCAGGAATAGATGGCCAGTCCTGCTTCCTAGTCTGTCTTAACTCTGGAAGCTCTGCTGACACCTATCCACTGTGGATGATCCTGCATTTATCACAAACCTGATGGCACTACTTCACACATCACAGCAACCTGTGAGTCATCTCAATACAGCAATTGACAGACAAGTGCCGTACTCTTAATAGCAAATGACAAACAAGTAAGTATATACATATCTCAAACTGTAAAGTAAGCAGCAACTTTCCTGCACCATTTTTGACCAGGAATCTTGAATAGAGCCAGCAAGTGAGCAAGCCAGGGCCTGCATGATATCTTTAAGCCACTTGTTTATATGGTTTTGTGGTTAGGAGTATAACACTTGTCTGTCTGGGAATTGGGAATCTTTAATAGTTTCATTTAATATTTACATCTTCTTTATAATTTATTTCTGTATGTTTGCTATTTACTTGGAAATACAATCCCCCTTAATAGAAAAGCCCACATTAATTTTTTTAACTATTTCACTACAAGAAGTTATAATTTATCTGTTGTTGTTGATGTTGATTTCCTTTGAGTTGAACATGAATCATAGCGATCCCATGAACAAAAGTCCTGAAGCCTCTCTACAACCATTGACATTTATCAAAGTTCACAGAGGCATGTTATTTAGGAAGTGGAAGCCACTCCTGCTTCCAACTACATTTATATTTTTCCTATTACACACTTTGTTAAATTAAAATAATAAATATAAGCCAAAACAGTGCTTTTAAAATTAGGTAAGTAAGTGGAGTAACTATGTTCAGAAATCATGGGAAGTATATAAAATGCTTCACGTTACAATTCACTCACTAGGAATACCTCATAGTCTAAAACATAAGCTTATCTCCTTTTGTTTCTTGCAAGTAGAATGTGAAACAATTTAAGCAAAATGATAACCTCAAGCAATAGGCTCTGATTTTACTATAGTACTACTATATTTACTAAATTCAAGATATTTGAGTAAATAAAAATAAAGCAATACACACCTATACGACAGACCTCCTATAAAATAACGTAAAAAATTAGAATTCATCCTCAAAAGAAGGTTACTTTTTGATTCCTAGAAAGGTAAGCATAGACACCAACATTAAATCAGTTAAAAAATGCAAGACCCTAGACATTTCTAAAATTTATTTTAATGAGCTTATTCATGGGTACAATAAAATAGGTAATGTTTTAGACAATGCCAACTTCCAAGGTGATCCTCTTGAATAGAGCAATTTTATGTTGTCACTGCTTGTATTGCTATTACAGAATAATAATAGCAAAGTAAACGGACTTTCTAGGGCTCATAAGTGAAAGTAAAGGCATAGATAATAAAAATGAGAGATTGTAAAACTTAGAAAGTAGATATTTGAACACATTCAGATACCTGGGTGTTCCAAATCATCGCACCACACCTTATTGAGCCTTCATACAACCAGTATAATCAGAATGAACAACCTTGGGCACAGAGTATGAGATCTGAAACAAAAGACACCTCTGTACATACACGCATACGTGTTCTCTCTGTCTGTCTGTCTCTCTGTTTCTCTGTCTGTCTGTCTTTCTCCGTCTCTCTCTGTCTCTGTCTCTCTGCCTCTCTGCCTCTCTGTCTCTCTGCCTCTCTGTCTGTCTGTCTCTCTCTCTATCTCTCTCTCTGTCTCTCTCTCTGTGTCTCTCTCTCTGTGTCTCTCTCTCTGTGTCTCTATGTCTCTGTCTCTATGTCTCTCTCTGTCTCTATGTCTCTCTGTCTGTCTCTGTGTCTCTCTGTGTCTCTCTCTGTCTCTGTCTCTCTCTGTGTGTCTCTCTCTCCCCCACCCGTTTGAATTGTACTTCTACTAGGTGAAATAAACACATATCTCTTTGAATGCTTCCTATGCCTACTGCTATTTTCCTATCAAAATAACACGTTTTCTTTTTTTAAAAAAAAATCTACCACCCCTAACATTTTAATGCACTATAAAGTTCTTCTTTGTTATTATTCTTATATAACATCTCTCCTATTCAAAGAAGGCACCACAGCTTACTGTCTTACTAATTTACTTCTAGTCTTCAGTATAAAGTCTAGTAGAAGATCATGTAAAAATAAATGTTACATTTATTTGTACTTTTGTGCTGGCTATCTTCTCTGGGGGCACACAGAAAAAAATTTAAAGCTCGTGAGAGAATTTACATGAATAACCCCGTATAGGGAACTTTGAGAAAACATACTAAATGCTTGTACAAGAATTCTATGTAAGGCATATTTTACATCTTTGTTCCTAAAACTATAGATCAAGGGGTTCAACATGGGGATTACCATAGTATAAAATATGGAAGCCATTTTATCAGTGTCAAGGGAATGATTGGACTTGGGCTGCAAGTACATAAAGATCAAAGTCCCGTAGAACACCACCACCACGGAAAGGTGGGATCCACAGGTAGAGAAAGCTTTCTTTCTGCCCTCTGCTGAGTTCATCCTAAGGATGGCCACAAGGATGAGAAGGTAAGAAATAAGAACTATTAGCAGGGATGAAATAAAATCAAACGTTGCTAAGATGAGAATGATCAATTCCATTTCCTCTGTGCTTGAACAGATCAAAGATAGCAAGGGGAGGCCATCACAATAAAAATGACGGATAAGGTTATAGCCACAGAAGGTGGAGTTGAAAATTTTGATGGTGACCAGAAGAGAAACAAATGTGCTATAGAGATAGGGGGTTGTCACGAGCATCCACCAGACCCTTGGTGACATGATAACGGTATAGAGGAGAGGATTGCAGATGGCCACATAGCGGTCATAAGACATTGCTGACAGAATGAAAAGCTCATTGGTGATGAACATGATAAAGAAGGCTAACTGAGTAGCACACAAGTAATAGGAGATCGTGTTTTTCTCCACAACAAAATTTACCAACATTTTTGGTCCCACCGCTGTTGAATAACCAAGATCAGTGATAGCCAGGTGTCTGAGAAAAAAGTACATGAGTGTTTGTAGCCTCGCGTCCGCTTTGGTGAGGATGACCATGCCCAAGTTGCCCACCAATGAGACTGAATAGACAGTGAGGAACAGCCCAAACAATGGCATCTGCAGCTCAGGCCTGTCTGTGATTCCCATCAGAATGAATTCATTAAGCACTGTTAAATTAACTTGGTCCATCTGTATTTCTCAGCAAACCTGTTGATAGAGGCATCATCATAGTCAGTAATTTATATGTAGCATCATCTGTAGTTTTTATACATACAAAACATTATAAATAATACAAATGCAAACTTTCCAATTTAGAATAATGAAATACAAACCCACTTTTCAAAATTGCACTCCTATGCATACTAGAGAGATCAGTGGATAGATATTAGTTGCTGTTGCCGTTATGTGCTGTTCAGTTGCCTGTAACTCATAGCAACCCCATGGACAACAGCTCTAAAACCTATCCTATGCTGAGTCTCAACACCCTACCCCCATCACTCCAATTACTGTATCAGTCCTTCGCATTGGGGTCTTTTCTCCTGCACTGTACCTCCACCCTTCCGAGCATGATGTCCTTCTGAAGGACTGTTGCCTCAAATCCATTTGCTCAGAGTATGTGAGATGGAGCTTCCAAATTCTAGGCACCAAAAAGAAAGCTGGTTTGACCCTCTCCAAGACAAACCTGTTTACTTGGTGGTCCATAATATATTCAAGACTCTTCTCCAACAGCACAACTCAAAGCCATCAATTCTTCCTCTGTCATCCTTAGTCATTGTCCAGCTCTCTGATGCATAGCAAGTAATTGCAAAGACCATGGCCTGGATCAGGTGCACTTTCATCTCTAGACTGACATTGTGGCTTCTCAATATTCTGGAGAGGTCTCTGACAGCAGACTTTCCCAATGCAATTCATTTTTTGATTTCCTGACAGTTGGTGCCAAGTGTGTTGATTGTGGAGTCAAGCAAGCTTAAATTGTTAACAACCTCAGTCTCTTCTCCATCTATCATGGTGCTGCCACTTGGCCCAGTGGTGAGAATCTTTGTCTTCTTGTTGTTAAACTTCAATCCATATTGAAGACCACAGTCCTTGACCTTCTGCAGCAAACACTTCCGGTCTGCCTCAGTTTCAGCAAGCAAGGTTGTATCATTTTCATAACATAGATTGTTGATGAGTCTTCCTCCAATCCTGATGCCACATTTCTCTTATATAGCCCAGCCTACCAAATTATCTGTCCTGCATATAGATTGAAAAGGTATGAAGACAGGATGCATCCCTAACACTCCTTTCCTGACTGATTTTGAACCATACAGTGTTTTCTTGCTCTGAGGACTGTTTCCTGGTTTGAGTATAGATTTCACATGAGCACAGTCAAATGTTCTGAGATTCCCATTTTTCTCAAGGATAGCCACAATTTGTTGTGATCCACACAGTCAAATGCCTTTGCATAATCAATGAAACACAGACAGACATTCTTGAACCATAAAAATGTGAACAATCAAAGATGAACCTTTAGGTGTTTAGGCACATGGTAATAATTATATTCTTCTTAAAACTTTTATTTTCTATATACTTAAAATATGTGCAAACATTTATTGCAAGACAATACTTTATAAATACATATATGACATAAATGGAAACATTTGACATATTTATGAGTTCATTGCCAGAGTTGCAACCAACTCATAGCTGACCCTGCTTTGAATTTCTGAGGCTGTAAACGACATAGGAGGAGATTGTCTATCTTTCTCTCAGGGAGTCACTGTTTATTTTAAGCACAACTCTCTATGAACTCCTTCACAATGCTCTCTATCAGTTATCTAACGGCTCATCTAGTCATCTAGCCATCATCCTCATTGTTCTCTCATCAGAGTCGCCATTATATATCTAGCAATGGTTGTTGACAGTAATTCCTTAGATTATATTGTTGCAAATTATTTACGTCTTTCTTATATTTGAGTGTAAATCTTTCTAGACTCTTGCTTTAGTGGTTTGTTGGGCTTTTATGATTAATAGTTGCATTTTAATAAATAACTTTAGTATCATTCCATAATTTCTTTTGTGACCTACTGAAAATACATTCTCTTTATTCTGGAAATTTTTATTGTACCTGACATTTTTGGAGTTTTTGTAACAACTCAGATACACACACACTCACAGACACACGTTCGTGTATACATATATCTTAGCAAATTGTTTTCAGTTTTGTTGTTTGTATATGTACAGACAATCTTCTCCTGTGTAATTTACAAATTTATAGCCTCTGAAAACCTAATGGAGGCTCATCTATGAGTTGGTTCAGACTTGACAACACACAACAGCTGGCAACCTGAACTCATTCTCTCTATGTATACGTGTGTGTGCGCATGCGTGTGGACAAATCTAGATAAATGAGGGAATATGATAGTGACTGTTTCATCTCATAAACTATCTATTATAAAAGTATACCCTACTTTTTATTAAAAATTAAATTAAACACAATATATGATAGCACAAAACAACAGTCATATTTCCAATGATAATATATTTTTCAATTAGTTCGTTATTTTAAATCTACCTGAACAATAAACTTGTCCCAAGAGACACTGAAATTCCTGTATTAATGTGATATCACATATATCCTTAAGTATAAGTCTTAAAGATATGTATCTGAATATACCACAGATGCTTTATATAGGCAAGAATGACTTATAGGTTAAGATAAAAGAGTAATTAATTGTTACAAACCTTATAATTATCACTGCTTCTTAAGTCTGAGTGTCTAGCATGCATCTAGGCTCATGTATTACTAGAGTAGTATTTAAGGAATTGTTAACAAGCAAATACAGTCATTTTATTCCTGACCATTAACTTATGAAAGTGAATAACGAAACACATTAATATAAGACATATCGGAAATAGAGTTGGCAAAAAGATCTGAAATAAACTTATGACTTCCTATGCTATTACAATTTATAAAATGTGGGGGTTTGAAAATAACACCAAAACCTTCTAGATATTCATAAAATACAGTATTGCAGAAAATATTCTGTCTTTTACCTGTGAAGATCTCTTTTGATGCCTCTGGTGCTTCTTAATATGGAATGATGTCATTTATAGCTTTCTCTCTGCCTTTCAGATCATCCCTGAGGAGGTAACAACTTAATACGTCTGAAGCATGTAAAAGCTTAACAAAAGCATCTAGAGCATCTGTTAATTTTTAAAATAATTTGCCTCCACCAGGGAGTTTCCTGTAGGTACATTTATTTTCAACTTACAATTTATCTTATCCAGGGACCTAGTGAGGAAGGGAGTTGATACTTGTTTCTCTCCTAGGAAAGAGAGATTGATCCCGTATTCTATCCTCAATTTCTGCAAAGACCTATTTAAGATATAGCTCTTATTTTATTTTTATAAAGAGTTTTTAAAATATATCTCATATTATATTCGGTTAAGATGTGCTATGCCATTTCCCCCCCATTTTGCTCAATCCATACTCCAATTCCTCTTATTCAACCAAGTACATACCATACAGTGTTTAGTATGTGATTAACAGTATACATCTATCTTATAAAGATTCCCACTGATATAACTAAGACATGTTGTTGATGAGTCTTTCTTCTAAACTAATTTCACATTCTTCTTCATGGTGTCCAGTGTCTCGAATGATTAGCTCAGCACACAGATTGAATAGGTACGGGGAAAGGGTCAACCTCAAAAGCACACCTTTCTTGATTTTAAAGCATTGTTCCCTTGCTTTTTTCACACAACAGCTTTTTGGTCTGGGTATAGGTTTTGTATAAATATAATTAACTATAGTGGGATTCCCATTCTTTTCAATATCAGTCACAATATACTGCGACCCGTAGAGTTAAATGCATCTGCACAGTCAATAAAACACAAATAGACACGATTCTGGTATTCTCTGTTTTCAAGCAGGAGCCACATGATATCAACAATGACATCACCCCTGATGTTACAGCCTCTTCTAAACTTCTAAACCCAGCTTGAATTTCAAATAAACTATTCTAACCACTTTTATCTTTGGTCTTTT